CGGGCGCGTTCGCTTCTCGATCGACGATGACATTTATGTGCTACGCGAAGTGCATGCCACTAACTCATTCCAGGATTCCAGGAGATGGACTTGAATGGCCGAAAGGGTCCCCGAAGCAATCGGAAGAAATTTCCCCTCGCGGGCCATCCGCGACCGGGTCGACCTGCTGCTGGCACAGTTTAATACGAAGCACAGATTTCCCGGTTACTTTTCGTAACTTAACGTAAAAAAAAAGAAAAAGAAAGAAACGGGTCTGTGTGAACAAGCCTTTAGCCGCGGAGTAGCAATACGTCACCATGTCAACAGTTACGGCGTATGTTTAGGCTTAGGAACTGCCAGAATCAGGTACGATCTTTAAAATGGGGCGAGCCCACCGCTCATTCTTTGTGACTTGAGCGAGATTAAGCAAAGCGAAAGCCGGTTGCACTATTCATTTGCAACGAAATTGGCTAATACTGCAGCGACCATGACGAATTTGCACCGAAGCGAGCGAAAAGGGCGCCGCCATGTTTGCCGATATACAACCCGGCCCCAAGCAATTGGGGGCCCCACGTTATTTCTCAAATTTCACGTTGGGGGCGCGAGCCAACCCGAAACCCCAAACGGAGTTTGGGTTCTACGCATGCGCAGTGCTGAGCCCCTATTTCTTTGGGGCCCCAAAGCTTTGGGACCCCCGATTATAAAACTCTCTATAACTGTCGTGCTGCTTCAGCTACAGAATGGGCTAAAAGCAAGCTACACCTACCAGCGTCGTGTTTGTGACCGGGGAATGGTCCCGTCGAGTTCGCAGATAATTCCATTGGCGCACATGGTAGCCTGGTATTTGAGGGCGTGCACTCTCTTGTGACCAGAGAAGTAAATGTTCTGATTCAGAGACGGTCGGCAGGCGAGTCTTGCTGTGCCGTTCCAACTGGTGTTACCCTCCCTATTATTTGAACCGCAAGCCACAATAAAGTGTCGTTTCAGCGCAAATGTTTTGCGTTTTAATAAATTTTCACTGTTAAGAAGTTCGTTCGCTCTCCACAATGGCGCTGCATGCGGAAAAGGCGAGCGTGCCGCGTTGCGTCGTCACAAACCCTATTCTATAAGCACGCTGCGTGAGGTGTCGTTGCGTTGGGTGCCCCAAAGCGTTGGGTTCCCCAAAGCGTTGGGGCCCCCTATTCTAAAACTCTCTAATGTTTCACTGAATCACCGAGAAAATCCTGCAGGTATACCCGGCAAAACCGATCTCGCCCGCGCCCGGGGCCAAGCTACGGTGCGTACCGTGAACCATTTTCTTGGCACAAATGCAGCACGACTTTCCCTGGTTATGAAGCCAACGCTATACAGGCGCCCGTGCAGTCGCCAAGCGTTGAGCTCCGCCATAGCCTCGTCTATGCTCACAAAGCATGGCAGTTCGACGACGGATCCATAGAGTGCCCGGTCGCAGATTGGGAGCGCGAGGATCTGGTAGCACTGAGCATTTCTAGGTGATCCTGGACGTCAGCGCACAGCTTTTGCAGCGGCGAGGACGCGAAACATGGTTTACAAACCCGACGAGAAAAGAAGCGCGAGGAACGCGAGGAGCACGAGCGGACATTCCATCGCTCGGGAGAAGTGCGTTTCGACGTCTCGCCTCAGCGGGCCGCCCGTTACATGACTCTCCTCTTGCCTGTTGCTTGCCGCTCTACCTTTTCACTTTCGGCGGCCGCGTCACGTGGCGATCTGCCAGGCTTTGTCAGTATAGAGGAGGCTATGGAACAACTATAGCCACAAAGGTTGTGTTCCAAAATTGAAGATCGCATTGCTCAGCATGCAACATGCGATCTTCACAGCTCAGCACCCAGGTATTCGTAGATTCCGAAACCGAGCTAAGCACACGTAAAAGCGCTAAAAATGCCTCCACAGTCAGAAACTTTTTTCTCCCTCAGATCGTGACACATGCATAATCTGACGCTACTCAATAAAGCCTCAAAACTAAATGCTGAACGTATAGTGGGGCAAACAATTAGCACCAAAATTCGCGCTGCAGAAATCTGTTACAAATACAACACGCCGCTGCGTATTCGTCGCAAACCAAATTCCATGCGACACACACGCGATGAACGCTGCCAAAGTCAATGCATGGTGTCAAAGCGTCAGTTGCGTGAACGACTTTATCTACACAAATGACGCACTTGCAAGCGCTGAAAACACGAGCGCACATACCAACGCACAATACATGGGTTGCACGTGACGTCACTTAAAGAGCGCTCCGATGACCACCAGAGAAAACGGGAAGAAGGCGCTGCCCTCTTACCAGGATCCTCTTTTGTGCCTCTCGGATTTGTACAGACGTCGCTACTCTCCTCTCAGAAGATTAACCCGTCCCTCAAAATTCTTACAAAAGCAGCTTCCCTCTCCCCCTCTTACATGGTGGTCAAAAGTATCCGACGTGGCATCAGTGCAACCCATATGTATATCAGCAAATAGGCTGTTCACGAAATACGTTTAAATCTTTGGAATGTGGTTCCAACTTCGGAGCCAGTCGGAAATCAGAGCCATTTCTTTGACTATATGTTAATCGTGCCCCGCGCCCGCCGTTGGCCCCTGTCGGTTGTGGCGGACTCCGGGTGAACAAAATCAAATACTTCACTAGTAAAGTATTTGATAGAGTATTTGATGATAAAGTATGATCAATCAAGGCCTCTAAGAGTATTCGCGCCCTGGCTGCTGCTGCGGGACGCTTGGTGGCGCTCGCAACCAACTCAAACTAGGGTGCCTGCATGTCTGTCTGTCTCAGGGTGAAGACATCCATTGTTGCACTGAATGTGCCAGCGCGTGACGCTCTCGCGCACTCGGTGCATGACTTGGGCGGTAAAATGGCGTCTATGCATTAGCCAAAGCTACGCGCTCGAGCTGAGTGACACCGGATTGCGCGCACTTCAAAAGGCATGAAAAACAATTGAGCGGAAAAATGGCTGAGATGTCACCACTCAAGCAAAAGCGCGTGTGTATGAAGGCACTCTAACTCAAACAATAGAAATTGCCGCGAATCATCATCACCATTATCGTCGGTCTACGGAACTCAGAAGCGGCGCGAAATGTGCTCCCCGCCTCTCGACGCAACGCACACAGGTTTGGCAAAGGAAGAACTTGATCGGTATTTGAAGGTTAATCTGGTGAAAGTGCGAAAGGTGTAGAACAATTGTTCGTGCCCGTAAGTGAAGTTCAGAAAGCTTTTCTCATTCATGACGTCAAAAATATTTATATTTTTGACGTCATGAATGGCCCGCCGGCCCGGAAAGTATCCTCAGAAGACAAATATAGATTCGCAAATACAGATTCGCAGTAAATCTTACATTCTGAGCTATGTTCCGGCCAAAGAGCGCAAAGACCGGAAGAGCAAATAAAAAATCTGCATCAACAGAGATCGGTTCACCTAGTCTGCTGATGAGGACAATGCAAGCCTCACGCCGTGGGCTCACACTTTACAGCCTGCTTCGTGACGATTCTGTTTCTGTTTCTGGTTTGGTTCTAAGCGCCGCATGCGAAGATCTAACAAACTGGCTTGATTTTTCTGCTGGGCAGCCGAGCGTTTGAAAAGGCCGGAGCAGAGCGGTCGCAAAAAATGTCGCAGACCATGACAAAATAGAGCTCGCCTAGATCGTCGGTGAACAGCCCATGGCCCGAACCCATGCAAGCGCCCGACCTGCACGCACATCTGCGAGCATGCAAGTCGTTTGTTCCGGAAACATGCTGTGTCATCTAGGAAAAAAAGGCTACAAATAAATCGAGGGTGCATCTCCCTTAAAGGCGTTCAGAACGAACTCCTGCAGAAAATCATTGAACCAGTTGACTCCGATGGCCACGCGCAGAGACGAGATATATAGCGAGATGGTTAGCCGATTCTTCGAAGCAGTTTGTTCCGACGAAACAAGGGCATCAGACCCAGAAAAAGCCTGCTTGGGCTACGTCGCAATATGGAGAGTGTTTTTGAATAAATTCAGGTTTGTCCAGCAGTAATGATATTTGACGCGTCGTATTATTCCCAAACTCGAATGCTAGAAATCCGAAAGTCGAATCGAATTATTCGGTCAATCACTATTTTATTCGAACTGAAAACTCGAATTTTCGCACACCTTTACACATAATATGTTCTTCTAAAAAAAAGGCATACGACCAATATCCCATAATATAATTTGTAACACTCATATGAAGGTAAATCTAAAACATTTGTAGCTTTATCCGTGGACATAACAATTTCAGGTGGCTCAAGAGAGTCTCTAATATTTTATTCACGTTTGATTCACCTAAAATATACAAAAAATATTGTAGGCTACTGTGTGTCATGCCCTTTTGATGAAATGTCTATAACTGGAAATTAGTTAAATACAAGTGCAAGAAAACAATTTCGTTTGTGTGCAATCTGTCAGGCAAATTATTGGTAGGCGATCAAGGCCATATATCAAATTGGCCTTTATGTTTTTATTGACAAAACTGCATTAAATATGTCATAACGCTGTTGTGGCTCTTTTTATGTGGGATGGAATTACGTGATATGGTTCAAACGAGTGTATTTGGGTATCTTTCAACATGGAGGTTTGGGATCGTCGAACCAAGTCTTATCTGTGATACCACAAACGACCTCGAAACGCCTGCCAAATTTAGCGCACTCACGTCCCGCTGAAATTGAACGAACTCAAGTTCCGATACGGTTAGCGAGGAGTCATTCCGCTAACTTTAGCATGTAAGACATTTGGGAGCCTTTGCAAATTGTTAGTACCAACCCGCAACACTCCCCGCAACCTAGCTGCCGCGATCCCCCCACGAGGTTGGGAACTCTGCGGACAAGCCCAGCGGCGCGCAGGCGCAGTAGCGATGTCTTCGTGGTGAAGAGCGGAGGGAGGAAACGGTCTACGGAAGCTCCCTATTGCTTGCCAAGTTTAGCACAAGTCCAAATCATTCTATGTATCCCGAGCCTTTAGGTAGGGTTAGGGCAGCATTTCTTTCAGAGTATCATTCCGTGCTGCTATCCCCAGGATCGAGCTGCTGCTGGAGCGTGGCTTCATCCAGAAGTACTACCGAGATGCCAAGAGCGACGAAGACCCCTGCAGGGCGGAGTCGGCCCAGGGACAGGACAGGGCCCGGTCCTCCTCCCAGCTGGACACGCTCCAGGGGGTCTTTTTCTTCTGGCTGCTGGGCATAGGCTTCTCCGGAGCCTTCCTGTGCGCCGAGTGCTACTGCCACCGTCATCGTCGGCCTAAGCTACAGACGTCGGGCTCCAAATAAGCTGCGCTTAGAGCGTCGGCAACCCATTCCTCGATTATCTCGTGGACGCCGCCATCTTGCTGCGTAGTGCACAGCAATAGGAAATGCCATTTTCTGAACTTTAGACACGGCGTCCTCGGGCCATATCGCTTTCCCCTGTAGCAAACTATTCTCTGGCTAGTGTTTCCTGCGATTTCGGATTCTAGATAATCGGCAACAGCGATTTTAAGCCCCTTTAGGTCTGAAATGTAAATTACGCTGAAGCGTGAGTTCTTTAGTGACTCTAGGGATAGTTGCTCTATACCGTAGTGCCACGTCTTGCAGCAACCGATGCCGCCAGAATGGCTAATTGTACCACTCCAAACCGTAGAAGATCCACCCGGGAATCGCACTTTCGGTAATGAACATCGTGTACGGCAATCAAACCGGCTTTAGTCCTAAATGTTTCTCCATTGTTGCTCGCGTTGTACCAATAGTAAAATAAGCCTAGCAGTTTCAAATATTGAATAATAGATAAATCATTTTGATGCCTTTTTAATCCCTGTCAACATGCCGTTCGTAAGCCAATTTCCTGCGAATCTCTCCTGTTTCACTCATACTCCGCATGTCATTCTGGACCATGGGTCGCAGCTATACTGCTTATTCCTCGATATTTACAAAGCTTTCGATAAAATCACTCATCAGGTATTGCCGTTCGAACTGAATTAACGTAACCTAGATTCAAATTTACTTAAAGGGACGACCAGGAAGACGTTTTTAAACATTTTTAGCAAAGAGTGTTTTTCAACTTTGTAAGAACCTGTTAAAAACGCTCCATCTTTTTTTATAAATTTATATGAAGGTTATTATTTTATGCAAATAAATCAACAAAAACCAAACTGACGTTCGACTTTCGATCCATACAACCTAAAACGGAGGTGACGTCAGCGATGAACCGTCGGTTTCTGTAGAATTTAGTTAGTCTTCATGAGCGCAGCTGGTTCGATAAGCTATAGGGGTGCTTTTTTTCATTTCACTTAATTTTATTACCTTAGAGGCCATTATGTAAGGGTCGCACATGAAAGCCACATGTATAATATTAAAATTGGGGGAAAAAAACCGAATGAGGACATAAAGAAAAAAGTCTCTTTCTACGGACATTATTCAACCACCTGAACGGCCTCCTGCGAGAAATAGTAGTAGTCACCTGTTATCACCAAGCTGGAGGGCAGACTGTTCGAATCACAAACACATGGGGAAAGAGGTGAGAATTTGTAGGCGTTAGTTCTAGAAAAAATGGCTTCAACTTTACAAAAATGATATGCGAGAGGAAATATGATGGGGCGGTGAAATAAATGTTCTATGCGGCAAAGGGTTGGTTTGTGCACGAAAGAGAGCCGATAAATTTTTCTGCAATTGTCGAGAGTTTGGAAAGATATGGACTCTTTGAAAAAAGGAACGCTATTACGGGAATAATCGCGAGTAATAAAATAGGCCGCACGGTTTTGGACAGCTTCGAGTTGGTTAATGAGGTACATTTGATAAGAGTTCCATACGATAGATGCGTATTCTAACTTAGTTCGTACTAACGTGGTAGAGGCTATACGCTTGACGTACGAGTCGGCGAGGTAGGGATGCTTTCTTAAAAATCCCAATGTTTTGTTAGCTTCAAAGCAGATGTAGTTCACGTGACACTTACATGATAGACCTTCAGCGAGGTACACTCCTAAGTATTTAAATGTGGCCACCCGTTCGAGCCTGGGAGATGAAATAGTATTTGAAAAACACACTTTATCCTTTGATTTCGAAAATGACATTATTTTAGATTGATCCTGGTTAATCGTCATGAGCCAAGAGTCACACCAAGTTTGTTTTCCTAGATCCTCTTGTAAGATCCTACAATCCTCAATGGAAGCAAAAGCAAATTGTTGTGTGTACGTTCATACAGCCGGAAGTTAGTCTGCCTATCAATGGAAGAAACTTTGCGATAGAGAACAAGGCCGTCAGCGTACATACAGTCTTATGGGGGAAGATAAAAAAAGAAGCAACGTCGTATACATAAACTAGAAAAAGAAGAGGGCCAAGAACTGAACCTTGATGTACAGTGCCCGAGGGACGCCAGAGATGTGGGGAGTCGGCGACCGAGTGGGGCTAGCGCACACCAGCTCGGAGCACGTGGAGCGAAAGTACAGTGTACTAGAATACTTGGGTAGTGTTGGGACCGGAGCGGCTCGGCAACGGGAGCTTGTGAGGGCGCGTGTATTGACAGTTCGTGGCGGCGCTGTAGTCGACTTATCCGGCTCGCGCAGCCCGCCTTTTTTTTTTCTTTTTTTCTTTTTCTCTTTGAGCGGTGCATGTAGCGAAAGCTAGGAGCGCGAGCTCATAGCGTTGGCAGCTGCCCTTGGTGCACGGGAGCTCGTGCCGCTGAGATGTGCCCTAGAGCAAGGAGCTCGCGCTTGTAGCCTTTCCTGCGGTACAACACAAGGTGAAACAGAGTATAGGGCACGTAAAAAAAATCGGTATTTTCAAATCTTTTTTTTTTCTCTAATTTTTGCGGTAGGCAAAGGGTTAATGAAACGTTTGATGGGCCATGTTGCAATTGCAGCTTTAAAGGGAGCCATAATTAAAGGCCAAACTAATTTAAAAAGTTCGCGAACAAACAACGAGCTTTGAGCGAAAGTAACAAGGCGTTCGTTTTTGTTGTGTTTGTCCGTCCATTTTCGTTTCTTCCTCAAGCTTAATTATCTCTACCAACACGCTCGTTCTGTCCTGAGATATTCATCGCTGAAATTTTGCCTTTCTTTTCTTGATTAAAAAAACTGCGCGCTGAAAGCGCGAATGAGGTTGTGCTGATATTGATCCGTAGAAGAATGACGCAGTTTTTTCTGTCCCCTTGTCACTAACTCGACAGCGTTTCTTCGGTGGACTCGCCGGCGCCACACATCAAGACGACTAAGTTACTATTCTACGTATTATTTTCATAACGCGGTTTCTGAATCAAGCGAAGAAAGGCAAACTTTTACGATTAATTTTGCGAACCTCGTTGGCCTTTTCGCGAATTGTCGAAATTGTGTTTGCCTTTGATAATGATTCCTTTTAAAACTGCAATTGCACCATGGCCAATTAAGCCGTTAATAAACAAGTTAACAAACAGATCTTGGTTCATTATTAAACATTGCAACGGTTATTCACCCATTCATTGTCCACCGAGCCCTACAGATATAACGAAAGACGGCATCCACATATCTGCCACATCCTTTTTTTTTGTTGTAAAATATGGAAAGTTCTGTAAAGAATAAAACAAAAACACCCTGAATGTCTGCGTGAACCAGATACGCCCCCTGTGGAACCATGGGTGTTTCCCTTCGAATACCCAGCTCAGGCGAGACTTACCTGGTTGTCAGAAAGCAGCTGTCGGTTAAATGTATTGTTGTGAGCGTGTAGGTTTCAGATGGTTTACCCTCAAGAGGATAATGCGCTGCATATTGTAACCATGTATGCGCTGCACATTGTAGCCATTATTTCAATGCCGTGCTGTAAACTATTACAACTTTTTCCTTGTCTGATCTACGTGTGCTCATGTTTTCTGCTCAAAATGATGTGAAATAGTTTCTTGTTTTCTATGAATCTTTTAAAGCATTACTTGTTCAGCCCACATTGTCTCAGTTTTTGAACTTAAGTTAAATGTTAAAACGCGTGCTAAAATTTTCACGGCTTATAAGCCATTTCTTACAAGTGAACGTCGGGTGATTCTCGGACGGTCGTGGCAGCCACGAAGAAATAGAAGATTCTCACCCCTTTGCGACCGTCGCTTGGGTGGTTCGTCGCATAAATGGACACAAGAATGATTGACAAGTGAAGTGAGCTGATTAAGGTCAAGAAAAAGAAGACGGGCAGAAAAGAAGACAGAGAAGTTAACCTGGGGTATTAAAAACATACTAAAACAATCTCAAACTTTAGTATGTGATGTTTCGTTCCGTTATAAAATAAGATAGGAAAAAAAAAAAAAAACTGCTTCCGAGTTTTAGATATCCCTTTCAAATATCTAATGTTCGGCATTTGCGACCAAGGAAATGGGCATTTCATTTAAAATGCTCACCATCCGACAAACCGAAACCGCTTCTTTAAAGTCGCAATTGTTTTTATGTAAAGGAAGGGTAATGTAGCTTGTACCGTCCAATACATTGAAGCATCATGTTGCTAACGATCGTGCCGCAGCGTAATTGATGCCGCGGTACGACCGCTGGCAGGTCGTAGCTGTATCAGAAATCCTATGTGCACTCCACCAAAGCGGCACCAAAGATTCATATTTTCGCGCGTGCAGCCGCGCATGAGCACACCTTCCGGATAAGGCGCCGGACGCGACACCTGTCGCGATCAATACCACGCGCTTCAGGCGAGCCCCTTCGGTCCCAACACTACCCAAGTATTCTAGTACACTGTAGCGAAAGCTCGGGCTGCAGAACCCAGGAAACCTGGGTTCAATCTCCACCCCTGCCCGTTTCGATTTGGATGAGCATCGGCGTGCGGTCGTGTATCACTACTGAGCGGCGCACGTTGAAGACCTCACGCTAGCGGTTGTGACTAAAATGCTCATCTATAGAGCTAAGACACCAGACGCCCTCTGAGGCAGACTAACTTCCGGCTGTATAGACGTACGCACAACAATATGCTTTGCTTTGCTTGCCAGAGATGACGTCCAATGAAGAGGAAGTGGTGTTATTGACGGTCACAGATTGGGTGCGACTAAACAAGAAAACCCTAATCTAGGAGACAAGATTATTATTCACGTTTAAATGGAAAAGTTAGGGTATTAATCTAGTATCAGGGACACAGACAAACGCTTTTGAAAAGTCTATAATATTGTATCAGTTTGTTTCAAAGAGTGCATGTTACTACGAAGATCGTATGCGAGTTCCAATAGTTGAGTAACAAAAGATAGGTTTTAACCAGACTTGTACACTTTACTGAAAAATAGTAAGGAATCACATTTACAATTACTCAAGGTTAAATTGTAATTTATTACAATTACAATTACCCTTTCATAAAAGAAAGTGACCGTCACCCCAAAAAGTAATCCGTTACTTTCATGGCGTTACTTTCAACAATATTATCTTCAATTAAGAAACAAAGGGAAGAGGGTTATTCAAGTCCTTAATGTTGCAACCTGTTC